TCAAGATCAATGTTATCATCTGGAAATAGGTACCCAATCCACAACTTCGAAGTGGGGCAATATTTGATGATTCATTGTCGTCCAGCAAAAGACCATTTCCTTGGAGCTCGTGTACTTCGTTACGGTCTTGGTGCCTTTGCTAACGGCGTGCTTAGCTCCGGGTAATAACTACCTAACTGCGGTCTGGATATCTCTGCTGATAATGATCGATCTCTTGTTGTAGTGAGCCAGACGGGACGTTTCGGCAGCGATCCTTTCGAAGATGTCGTTGACGAAAGAGTTCATTATAGACATCGCCTTACTGGAAATTGCAGTATCGGGATGAACTTGCTTCAAAATTTTGTAAATGTAGATGGCATAGCTCTCCTTCTTCCTGCGCTTCTTCTTTTTGTCTGTCTTCGAAATGTTTTTTTGGGCCTTTCCGGCTTTTGTCGCAGCTTTTCCACTAGTCTTCGGCGGCATGTCTGTCAGTCATTCACAACAGTGTTAACTCATAAATGGTCAGAACTAGAATGGCAAGATTTTGAAGTCGGGTTTCGAATTTATTGGAAATCTCTTTTCCGCAATCTCTCTCATGTGCCTCTAATAACTCACTTCGATCCCCGCTGTACAAAAGTTGCTCAACGTCCAACTGTAACACTGAAGGCAAGTCTAGCGACTCCATAATGAGCGTACCAATAGCTCGAAAAGCCAATGTGTGTCCTCTGATGGCTCTGGCAGAAGCATGGCCTGTCATAATCGTTGCAGTGCTATTGACAGCATAGACGGTCTTGAATAGTTCCGACAGACCACTACCTTCCATAATATATCCGACATCTCCCATGAAACAAATAAGTAAGTGAAACCTACCTAATTTTACGACCACGTTCTGTAGCTCAAGGTCTCCTACTCGACTTGCTAGCACATCGCGCGCCTTGAGGTACAGGGGTTGATCAAAGGTGACAAAAGTTGTTTGCTGCCCCAAGGAATGTGCCTTTTCAGCTGCAGAAAGCAACGATGTGTAAATCGCATCGTATTCTTCAGGAGGCGCATTTATAAAAGGCTGGCATTCTATAAATGTTGTGTGGAATTTCTTTGGTTATTTCCTCCATAAATCCATTGAATCCAGAAACTCCTGGAAGATTTTTAAATTTGCTGTACAGCTACAGCAGAAAGAGCTGAAATTATGGTCTATGTATCGTGAAACAAGCTACTTAATTCATTGATCAGAATAGCGGCTATGCCTACATCATAGTTTCTTTCAAATTGTTTCAATGGTACAGGTCCCAAGTTTCCAACGGCTTGTGCTGATATGTTTTTTAGTCGTGCAACCTTCTGACCGGGAACAACAGCACTGTTGAGGGTAACACATCGGATACTTCCCATTGTGTGGAAGGTATTTCGACCATCCAGTGTTTGAATGTTGAAATCTGCGTTGTCATACACCATCTGAGAAAGTGCTTGTTGATCAACTGCCAGGGGAGGATGCATAATTGACGAAACTTCAAGTCGAGTTGCTCCATTGTATGAGCAACACAATCCCATGGAAGATAAAAATTCTAATAATTTGCGGGAATCAAATTTTTTATAAATAAATGCTGCTAAGCCAATTTGAAGGGGAGAAAGAAATGAAGCAGGCCGCACAGCACTAATGATGCTATGCGCAGGAAAATTCTGGAGAAGGACATTCTTCTTTCTCTGGTAGCTTCTAAATATTTTCAAACCAGGACTTAGTTATATTATTTTGTATCCAGTGCCTGTCAAACATGCAAAGTAAGGCGGGCTTGTTGTAATCAAAATATCATCGCCGTATTTTTGAACGAGGTGCCTCCTAATTGTGTTTGGATGCGGATGGAAATCACCTTTAATCTGTTGCATCAGTTCTTCCATTGTAAATTGACATTTTTCGAAACAGCAAAAACAATTATTCAAGGATATAACCAAAAAAAAAAACTTGTAAATATAGTATTGCCGACACTCCAGTGTGGCACTTAAATATTCTTAGAACGATTGCGAAATTCATGTCTATAATGAAAGGACTGAAAAAGCCGATTTTTTTTTTTCAACGAAATTTGGATTTACAATTCGTGATTCGCATCTATATGAACTACGCTTAACACAACACCGCAAAAACAGGCAGTTGCCACGGGAATGTAGTGGAAGGAATGATAGTATTCGCACCTTAGGTCCGCCTGTCATGTCGCATTTTACAAACTAAGTTCTTTAACGCTCTTTTACGTTGAATTAAGTTTTTTGTTGATCACTCGGTTATTTATCGACTTGTAATAGGTGAGACTAGGCGCTTTTCTGGAAATTCTAAAAATACCAAAAAATCGTTGTTTTTTAGCAAGCTCTAGCGCAAGTACCGCTTATTAGAAAATGGCGGATAAATAATGTATTTTGTAGGAAATTTTATTTAATTTAATTTTGTATAGTACGCTCATAGTCAAAAAACCAATAGGTTTTGAGATATAAGCAAAGACCTCCTACAACGCGGCAAACCATAAATTCGGATTCAGCACCCTCGAAAACATATAAAACCATTGAAAAAAAAAAAAAACTTTGGCAATTTTGTTACGAAAACGTGTTTTTTGAATACGCATTTACTGGACTAATTAGGAAACACCTCGTCTGAATTAAAATAAGAACAAAACCCAGAACATTAAAATTGATTACGAAATCGTGTATTTTTGATTGCCAAGTAAGAGAAACTCCGCTCAGAGAGTTTTTGATAAAAAAAAAATCCACAGGAAGCTTTATTTGTTTTAAGGTAGGTACGTCTTCTTGTCAATAACGTTTCATATATAAATTCACTTTAAACGAAAAACCCAGAGAAAATATAATCCTTGCAATATCATAAATAAAACCGTTGCCAGATCAATAAGAAAATCAACATTTTCCACGATTGATCCCGGACATTGAGTCTTCAGTAAGACCTCTATAGACTTTGTGTTTGTTGCAGTACTCTCTGTTCGACTTTTTTAGCAGATGCCAATCGAGTGGTTTTTTGACAGGTCCTTCTGTAGACGTTGTGCTGGGCCTAATTCATTGATTCCTTCACAGAACTGTACCTCTAGGTTCGTTTTTGGATTTTTTTTGAGAATATATTGTACTCTGTTAGGGCTGTCCTGTAGGCTCTAGTAGTTTTAGCCTTATTGAACGACTTTCTGGCCGCTTACATTTTTCTTAACCCAATTAGAACTTAAACATTCTTCGATATTATTCAAACTCGTGCTATTTTTATCAATTTTTGTTTGCCGTAAAATGTTTTATAAAGGTTTTTTGGTTTTATTTTAGAGCATCTATGTCTATTTATAATAATTAACTATGCTGGATATAGTGAAATAAAAACCTACTTGAATATCTTGTATTTCAGTTTTTTGATCGATTTTTCACTTATGAGAGATCTAAAAAAATTACACTACACTTACCATCACCAAATACTGGCAGTACCATTTAATTTTTGGTTTTACTACATGTAAATTTACATTCTAAAATACAAAATATTCTAAACTTTAGCTGGTCCTAAAGTTTAATCATAACCAAAGTGCGAAGCGATGATTCTGGATTGGAGTTGGAGACACAGGTACTTTAAATATGTTGTGCAAAAAAATCAAATGATTATTTTTATTCTATATTTTATAAAATTGTGGTCAAAGTTTTAAATTATTATGTGTTTTTGATAAATAATCTAAATTTTTTAATAATTTATCAACCACTTTGCCTTAAATTATTCCGCATCAAAATTCTTTCTTCAAATTATTTTTAAATTGCAAAATTACTGTTACTTAAAGTTTGGTCTTATGAACTTAATCAAATATCTGTTTCAAGTTAACCATTGCTTGTCTTCAAGTCTATGAAACCAAAATTTGTTTAGTGATTTTATAATAGAGATAAAATGCATGTAAAATAAATTATATCAAACTCAATATCAGAGCACCGAAATATAAATCATAATAGCAAAAAATTAAATTTACAAAAATTATATTATGTTGTTACTAAAAATTCATGTTATATTTTAGGCTTCTGATGTTTCTGGTAATTATAAAAATCAAGTAGGTACTTGAATAAGTACCTAATCATCGAAATAACAAAATTCATATTTTGAGGATCTATTATTAGGTATAAGATTTTAACACGTAACTCGTTTTAAAGCACAAAATATTATTGAGGTAAGATTTTATTGAAGAACAAACAGTTTTATAGAAAATTAGTAAATTCTTTATATTTGAACAAAGCTACAAACGGTTGTCCCTATGGACCGATTTTTTCAAATTAAATTTTCAACAAATGCAAGAAACTCACTGAAAAACCACGCCCTAATTAAATTTCTATAAAGCAGTTTTCTGGAAATTTGACTAAAAATGTGTTGATTTGAGATGTACAAAATGTAAATAAAATATAGGATACTCGAAAAACATTTGTAAATTTTAGATAATTTAAAAAAAGATTTATTGTTGAAAAAATATAACGATCTTAGACGAACCATCTTGTGTTTCATTTGGTATAAACACTATTTTTCATGCAGCTATGGAAATAATTATGTAAAATTACGGAAAAATGGTAGGTACCTACTATTCCTTTGAACGCACGCACATATAGAACTAACCGCCAGAAGTTGTGGGAAATATTTCCGGAAAAAATACAAAACTCTTGATAATATAGAACTTTTAAATTTGAATATGAATATCAGCGTTCACGGATAAAGTCACAAATGAAGACAATACAATTTGCGTAGATCCTCACTATTTTTTCTTGTCCATCTCAGGATTTTGTCATAAGAAAAACTAGTATCAAACTTCTTTTTTAATTCTGAATGTAATTTATTTTTCAACTTTTTAGCCCTCTAAAGGCGCCCATAATTTGAAGTACTTAGATATATCTTTCAGATGAGAAAACCATGAAATCAATTTATTTTTTAATACTTCAACGCCCCCCTATAAGGACTTCATCATTAGAAGGAGTTTTGTTTTCTTGCACATGAGCACGAACATTGCAATAACTAGTCAGCTTTGACATGCCGAACAGACCTCGTGTGAAAAGTTTTCCTGCGTTCCAGTTGGCAACATTCTGTTTGGTGCGCGAAAAAAATAGAATTTGCACCCCGTTTTTAGAGAATCGATTAAAAATTAATTGGAATAATGGCAGAATCCGAAATAAAAGAACAGAAAGAGGAACCGAAAAAGATCGTCCATACGTATCCGCTAATAAGGGTGAGTCATTCGCGATAGCTATAAAACGGCAGTTGGGGCGGTTATTGATTTTATTTAATGCAGCATTCCGATATGCCCGACGAAATGAAAACGGAGACTATGGAAATGGTTGTGACGGCCTGCGAAAAACATTCAGCCAGCAATGAAGTAAGTATTTTGAGTAAATTTACTTGGAAAAATGCATTCACAAAAATCTAAAAAATAGTGGATATCAATAAAGATTCACATACCTACTTACAAGTTCAATAAAAGTTATACAAGATAAGGATAGCATTAGAATCAGAAACGAAATTTTACAAAATCGATTGAATCTTTTTCCTCAGTTTGTGAAGTGATGTTTCCAAATGAAGAAATCTTTAACGTTGCCACTTTTCCCCTTATATAAAATGGCATAGTCAAATTCGAAATCCGACGTTTCGTCTCTAGTCGACCTTCATCAGCTTTATTTTTTTGAATACGGTCATTAATATTTTATTTTGTGTAAGCTTTTCATCCCCTCTAAGCAGTGATGTATGAAAACTATCGAGAAAATCATTGGTTTTTAAGCTATTCTGTAGTAGGTATTTGAGTGGCTTAAATGCCAACCCTCTACAGGGAGTCCTTAGATAAACTTGACACATTTTGCAGGTATAGTCTGTACACCCAGAGGTTACCCGTAAATTGTAAAATACAAAGCTGACAATAAATCCTTTTCAAACTAATTTTAAAGTTTTTGAGTTACCTACGTCGAAAATCAATGTCTATAAAGTAGTTTAGTAGTCTATTTAAAATTTACTTCATAAAAAAATATTACTTGACAAAATTATATTTTAAAGTAACTTTAAAAAATGGTACACCAGCACCTGAATTGATATAGAACCCGTAAAAGTTTTTTGAATAAAATTTATACCGAAATTCCAGTGCTTCCCAAACAAAGCGAAATTTTGTGTTGTGTTAGATAATAATTATGTTTTAGCTATAAACAATATGTAATAGTAATAATAATAAAAGTATAATAATCTATACTCCGCATTAGATGAATATATTGCATTTTAAATAAATACGAAATGTAAGTACCTACCTATCTTTAAAAAATATATTTCTTCACAAAATTTCAGGACCCACAAAACATTTTGAGAATTTCAGGTAGAGCCCAGCCCGTCCTCCATAGGCGCAACTAGGGGGGGGGGGGTGCTTGGGGGTGCTAAGCACCCCTAAAACAAAAATTAGCACTCCCATTAGGCAACCCACCATAGCACTACCTACAGTGGCACTACCTAACACCAATATAAAAAATTAGTGCAATCAAATTATTTATTTTTTTTGCACATTTGTACTTATTTACGTCATCGATGACATCATAATTTAGAAAAAAGTATTGATTAATTCATAGAGCACGTTCGCAATTATTACTGTTATAGAATAAAAAATTTCAACCGGGGCCGGTATAACAATATTACCTTAAAATCAAGACTAAACCTAAAATATACGGTTTTTATGTTATATTTACATTTAGGATGACGTCATCGAACAAGGTCAGACAATGTTTTCACATTGACATTGACATTGAAATAACGGCCCTAAAAAGATCATTGGAGTCCCAAATATATAAATTTATTACCTAAATATCATGTACGAACGGCAAAAGGTGATTTTTTGTTTGTTTTTATGATTGAAATCTCAAATATGTTCTAAAAAATTTACTTATTTAAGCAAATTCAAAAAAAAAATCACCCCTTACATTTTAATTTTTTTCTAAAAAACTTGCAAAGGAAAAATTTTGAAAATTTTCCAGGAATAAAAGGAAAATGGGGAACTCATTTTACGAAAATTTCAAAATTTTCCAGTGAGAAATCACTCCAGGATAAATTTTGAAAAACTAACTTTTTTAAGCAAAATTAGGGAGAATTCACCCTCTTACATTTTAATTTTTTTTCTAGAAATCTGGCAAAGGGAAAATTGTGAAATTTTTCCAGAAGAAAGAGAAAAGTGAGGAGCTCATTATAGGAAAATTTCAAATTTTTCCAGTGGAACATCACTCCAGGAAAAATTCTGGGAAATTAACTTTTTTAGGCAAAATTCACCCTCTTACATTTTAATTTTTTTTCTGAGAAACTGGCAAGAGGTAAATTGTGAAAATTTTCCAGAAAAAAGAGGAAAGTATAGAGCTTATATTATATTATAGCAAAATTTTAAAATTTTCCAATGAAAAATCACTCCATAGAAAATTCTGAAAAATTGACTTATTTAAGCAAAATTAAGGAAAATTCACCCTCTTACATTTTAATTTTTTTCTGGAAAACTGGCAGAGAAAAAACTTTGAAAATTTTCCAGGAAAAAGAGGAAAGTGAGGAGCTCATTATAGGGAAACTTCGAAATTTTCCAGTGAGAAATCACTCCAGGGAAAATTCTGGAAAATTGACTTTATTAAGGAAAATTCATCCTCTCACATTTCAATTTTTTTCTGGAAAACTGGCAAAAGAGGAAAAAGAGGAAAGTCAGGAGCTCATTATAAGAAAGTTTCAAAATTTTCCAATGGAAAATCACTCCAGGAAAAATTCTGAAAAAATGACTTTTTCAAGTAAAATTAAGAAAAAATCATCCTCTCACATTTCAATTTATTTCTGTAAAACTAATAAAGCAAAACTTGTGAAATTTTTCCAGGAGGAAGAAGAAAATGAGGAGCTTATTATAGGAAAATTTCAAAATTTTCTAGTGAAAAATCACTTCAAGGAAAGTCGAGAGGAAAGTTCTGGAAAATTGACTTTTTTAAGCAAAGTTCATCCTTTCACATTTCAATTTTTTTCTGGAAAACTGGCAAAGCAAAAATTCTGAATTTTTTCAAAAGAAAAAGGAAAGTGAGGAGCTCATTATAGGAAAATTTTAAAATTTTCCAGTGAAAAATTCAAAGAAAATTGACTAATTTAGGCAAAATTAAGGAAAATTCACCCTCTTACATTTTAATTTTTTTCTGGAAAACTGACAACGGGAAAATTTTGAAATTTTTACAAGAGAAAGAGGAAAGTGAGGAGCTCATTAGAGGAAAATTTCAAAATTTTCCAGTGAAAAATCACTCCAGGAGAAATGTATTTACATATTTTCGGATAACTGAATAAACTCTATTCTAAGTTGGAAAATGTATTACAAAACAATAATTTCGAAAGTGCTCTATGAATTAATCTATGACTTAACTTTTTCTCTAAGTTATGACGTCATCGATGACGTAAGTAAAAATCTTCGTGCCGTGCAACGAACTATATGTTTGTTTGAAATTTCAGATATAAAAAAACTTATTTTTCAAAAAAAAAGGCAAATGATGACGTGCACAAACCCTCATGAAACTAACTTTTTTTTTTACGCGTCTCATCAAACCCCATAAAAAAAAAATTAAAAAAAAAGGTGCTGCAGCAACCCTCAAATTTGGAGCCTAGTTGCGCTTATGCCGTCCCCTCTTTATATTTCGCATGATTTATAACCATATCGTGTTTTCCAACTTAGGAGTAAACTCTCGGTGCACAGACTTTAAATATTTCGCAAACGAGAAAAGACAACGAGATGCGGTTTGTCCTGGGAGAATAAGATCTTTTTGAAGTTTTTTTTTCCCAGTATTGCCAAATCCTTAAACTTGCTGAAATTTGGTTTTACAAACATATATTTTTTAAATTATCTTGAAATCACATTGTAAAAGTTGCACTTTGTTAAAAAGGGCACCTACCATCAACCGGCAAAAAAAAAATACTTCAAGCAATTAGGAGGACTTCAAACTTTCAGGATTTATTAAGTAGGGTATGCTGCATTAAAGCTCAATATGTTTATCTCAAAAAACTTAAGTAAAAGCATTTGCTTCTGTTTTATTCATATGCATATGAGCCATTGTACGTTTTTACAATAGATATACGCATGCGGCACAGGTCTACCCACGGCATTTACTTCATGTCGCACGTTGCATGTTTGATGTTTCATTGGTGTACGATGACACTAAAGTCGACGCAGGCCACGTCGCAAGAATGACAGATGATAGGTGGACGAAGAAGATATTGGAGTGGCGAGAGATGCTGCACACAGAAGCTGGGGTAGACCGCCGACTCGATGGACAGATGATATCAAGAGGATATCTAAAAAGTGGATCCAAGATGCCCAAGACCGAGCAAGATGTATTAGATTAAGAGAGGCCTATGTCCAGCAGTAGACGAAACTGAAATTTTCAGGGATTGTAGTCCTCCACTGGGATAAGAATCGTTGAAAATTTCAGCTTTCTATCTCTAATAGAAAAAAAAAGGTATGATTTTTTAAAGTTTACAAAAATCTAAATCATAAGGTACCTACCCTAGTACTAAAATGTTGAAATTTTAATTTTTTTTTTGTGTTTTAATGATGCTTTGGAATCCCCCAAACTCCAAAATTATTCCAAGATATAAAGCCGAAATCTTTGAAAAAAGGCACTCGGAAAATTGATAATATCACCCCAAATTGCCTAACACGATTTTATTTCTGAAACTATAGATCCAAATGAGCTGAAATTGAGTTATTATTTTTTTAAAGATTTTCCATAGGGTTCCACATCTATCTTTTGACTGGTGAAAAATACAGTCTCTTTCAACATTCTATCCATTTTTTTTTTTTTTCAAAATCGGTAAGGTAGAGGGGGGCCCATTCAACCATTTTATACAAAATAGTGGATAACTAATGTGAAAATATACGCAATGTTCCAAAATATAGCATGTTCAAAACTTTACGACTTATGTTGAAAAACTGTTATAACATTATTGGTTCAAAACATTGGAGCCATAAAAAAAAATATTTTTCGAAAACCCTGTATATGGTTGAATGTGTCCCGCCTAAGGGGCACATTCAACCTTTGCTAGGGGCAGATTCAACCACCCTGATTTTGGGAATAAATGAGTTCAAAATATGTTTTTTTTTGTTTAAATTGAGCTTTTTATTAAAATTTAAAACAAACAGTAACATATAAAAGAACTATTTACCTACAAACTGAAAGCCCCTCAAGGAAATGATAAGCATTTTACATACAAAAAATAGGAAATGCCAAAAAGAAAATGATTTTAATAGACATTATAAACGAAGATAAACGTCGAATGTGAAAAGGCTGGCAGTTCTAGCAGTTTTTGCTGAATTCGGTTTTGGTAATTTATAAATCATGTCATTACGCTCAATGGTCGATTCATCATCAACTGTTGGGTAGAAAAAGGTATAACTGGTTGGTTTTCTTCGCAAAAATTTGACTTTATATTCGTTTTCGTTTATAATCTCTGTTACTTTTCCTATGAAATACTTGACTTGTGGTTTTTTCACAAGTAAAAAATCTTCCGCAACTATTTTGTCCTCAGGTCGTAAAACGAGAGGCTCATTTTCTTCCTCGCTAAAATCATCGCTGATATCGTCGGATTTTAAACTCAAATGTTCTACTGAGTTATCAGAACTACTGGAACTGGAACTCACTTTTCTTGCTCTTTTATAGTAGGCCTTGACTTTTTGACAATTGGTTGGGTTTATCAGCAAACACTTGTTTTGTGACTAACAATTCCTCTTGAATTTTTTTGCGGTTGTTTTTTTCGCGCTCAATTTCTTCCAATCGTTGCTTCTCCGGCGTATCAGTGAAAATTATTGATTTTCCGCGTCTGTCTTTTCCTCGGGCAACTTTTTTCACACATGGTCTGGGAAACGGTCTAACCGCTTCTGGAGTTAATAGAAAACCTAAAAAAAAATCGAGAATAATGTTTTTTATACTTATCAAATGCTTCGCCTCCTATTTATACCTTTTTTGGGCCTCTCCATATTTTCAGTATTTTCATCAGGCATACGCGATGTCGAAGGCTGCGGCTCAAAGCTTTTAACTGCTGAAGAAATAAAAATGAATTAGCCACAACGACAATAGGCTATTCATCTTACCTTACCTTCTAAATTTTTATCCTCTTTATCTGTCGCCTCAGTCACTGAAGCAGGCTGAACTGCACCTAAAACAAAAAAAAAAAGGTTACTTTCTATTTCTCAGAGTTACGCAAGTCAATTAATTCCCTTGTCAAGGGCTGATGGGTTTTCAGCATTAACGCTCGGTGATGGTCCTGAATTCGGCTGGTCAACGTAACTTGCAGCAAAGTCTTCTTCTTTGAAAGCAAGCCTGTTCAGGGGCCATAAACCTGGTTTTTCAAATGATTTTACTATATTTTTCTGAGAAAAAGCTAATTGGAATGCTTGTTTCGTTAAGTAAGCAATTTGGTTAATAGTTATAGGCTTTCCAGGGTTCATTGTCATCCAGTCATTGAAAGCAGAAACACAATAGTTTTTGAAAGGCCCATAGACTCCGACATCTAGGGGCTGGATTTTGTGCGATGTGTGGGAAGGTATTGATAGCATGACTATTCCATTATCGCAGCAAAAATTTATATCATTAACAGTTGTGTGAGTGTCATGATTGTCCAATAACAAAAGTATTTTATTGTCCTTGTCGCATTTGGTGTGATCTCTAATATACTCCAAAACTTCCAAAATCAAGTCAGATGTCATCCAACCATTAGAGCTTCTAAGGCTAGACTGGAAGTTGGGCCATCAATGAGATACTTGTCTGGATTGCGTATCCTAGGAAATACATACACTGGAGGTGAGGCGTTGCCGACAGCATTTATTATCCCAATGAATGTTGTCAATTCACCACGTTCGGCAGAGCTATTTTGACTGACTTGCTTTCTTCCCTTAGGAGCAACGACCTTCACAGGCTTTAAAACAGTTGCGACACCACTTTAATCCATATTATAAATCTTTTCTGGCCTGAACTGGTATCTCTTCAAAGCTGATGTGTAGTTATCAAAAAAACTAGAAACAGCTATCTTATTGAAACCGGTGGCTCTTGCCAAGCTCGTGCTTTCGGATTTCCTTAGGCTTAACTCGCTCTTGTTTTGATTCATGAAACACTTAAGCCAATCAATTCCAGCTCTTTGATTAGCATCCCAATTTCTGGGGTATTTGTTACAGCCAGGAAGGATGCATGCATATTGGTAGGCCAATTTTCTTATCTGTGAATATGTCATGCCATAATTCATGTCTGAACAAGTTTTAATGTATTTTACCAATTCCTTTTCTTGGGTATTGTCAAATACTTGAGTTGCGGTATATTTGCTTGAAAATCTGGCTCTTTCTCCAAGCTCTTGGTCATTACTTTCGTTTCCTGAATCTTCATTGAACATTCTATCTAGTTGCTCCTGAGTGTATTGTGCTACGTTTAACTTCATAAGCTGTCGCTGCCACCCTTTCAGACATATTATGACGCAAAACTTGTTGAATGGCATTTTTGAAACTATTTCCATCAAGAAAACTCCTGTTTGTTTTCTTTTTATAACTCCTCACCATCTAAAAAAATGTTAAACTAATATATTAGGTATACATAGCTTAAAATTAATTTATTGCAACAGCTCATCTTTGAATTTTTGTAAACATTCAAACATCAAGTTATGCGTAAAAATGCCGTTTTTGAAAAAAAGTCGAGTGGGGCAGATTCAACCACTGGTTGAAAGTGCCCCACGCATAGCTGGTCGAATCTGCCCCAGGGCATTTTTTGTTAAAAGACATAATTTTTTTGGCCGTGGCTAAAGTAACAGAGGTGTTACTATAATTATTAATTTAAAGTAACATCAGTTCAATGACGTCACTGATGACAACGTTACTTTTATTAGGGGCTATAGTAGAGTAATAGAGGTGTTACGCTAATTATTTTCTTGAAGTAACGTCAATATGTATAGCAATATGTAGATAGGTACTTTCTTTAGCAATTTAAAGTAAAGGTGATATTCTTGGTATTTGTTTTAGAGTAAAAATGGAAATATATAAAAAATAACCTGACTTTGAAGGATAGAATAGAATAGGTACCTATGAAACAGGCAGTATGGGCCAGGCAGGAAAGACACATTTCCCTATGACCCTGTCAGAAAGTGACAATTTTTTACCTTCTTTTCAGGAAGGAAAATAGTTATTTCCCCACCCTAGGGAGGAAAGTAAATTATTTTCCTTCCCAGGTAGAAGTTTTTTCATTGTAGATAATAGTTTTATGATAGGTATCATATATCTCCTCATGTGTAATGCAGGTATTAGGTATAGATTATCAATTACTATTATCTTGTTGTATGAAAAATCATATACTTAAGTAGGTATATTCCCTTGGAGTGATGAAGTTCCGTTTCTCTCTTTGGTAATTAAGTAATCGAATTTTACCTACACACACTCCCCTACCTTTGGTTTACAAATAACTATTAAGTAAGGGCATGTGAGGAATGGAAATATGGAGCCGCCGACTAATCACCTTCGCGATACCAAAGTTTAGCATCATAATATTGTTGTTTATATTTAGCCATTGCCACAGCCTCCATTGCCCACTATTAACTTATAACTTCGCTTCTGTAAGGGTTCTGCTTTTAGTGTCAGTGACGTCGTAATTGATGATAGATGTTACTTTAAGAAAATATTTATAGTAACACCTCTGTTACTTTAGCCACGGCCAATTTTTTTCTATAGGAAAGTAGATTGAGGTTAGATTTATATTGTTTTTTGAATTCCTAATTACTACCCTATTACCGAAAATATTAGCCCAAACATGATATCTCTCTAATTTTGTACAGTTTCGAATAAATTTGAAGTGAAAAACTTACCTTTTTAACACAATTTTGGAACGGTTTCTGTTTTTCTGGTACACCCTCACACCAACAAAAGTTTCCGCACTGGGGCGAGTTCAGGAATGACGCACCCAGTGTGAGTGTGACACCGGTGCGACGGCCTAGCTGTTCAAAAATGCTAGACAATGCTATGGGCCCAATGGCCAATTGTCAATTCAGGCACACCCATGAAATCGCACTCGCTCGCACCCTGTGCGTTATTTCTGAACTCGGCCCTGGTCGTTCTTGAAATGTCAAGACTGTCAAGTCACATTTGATCAATTAACGCGCGAAATTCAATTTTAGTTTCAGAATATAGGCGGTGCTTGAATGTGCCCCATGGTCAAATGTGCCCCCCTCTCCCTTACGGGTTTAGGGGTTGAAAATCTCAAAAATGGAAATGGAATTATGAATTTTTTCTCACTTATGTAGATGCAAAAAAAAAAACATGTAAAATTTCTATGAAATCACCTTTGAAAGCTTCTGAAAAATCGCATGTTTGTAAAATCAAATTTTGAGATTCGGCAATACCGTAAAAAAAAAAAATTAAAAGTATCCATATTCTCCCAGAACAAACCGCATCTCATTATAGATATATTTACCTGCAAACTGTGTCAGTTTATCTAAGAACACCCTGTATAGGGCAACTCTGCCATCAATGTATATTGTGTAAGTTGTCAGTATTGTATATTTTATCAACACTCCAGCCTCCAGCAGAAATCCACTTTTTTACAATACTAAGAAATTATTTAATCATTTGCCACTAAAACACATAAAAGTGCCCACAACACCAAGTAAAGGAGATGTTACTGGAAACTTACTACAATAGAGCAATAATTTTTAGACAGTTTCATATTTAATTGATAATTTTGTAATCATAATTGTAAATATATGGCATTTTTAAATTTGTTAGTGATTGAGTTGTCATTAAAGCCTATTTGATTTCATATAGCCCAGTGGCGGCTCGTCGTATAAAGCAACTGAGGCCGGGCCTCACATGTAAAAATTACAATAATGATGTAAAATTTTGAAATAATATTCATTAAATATTTAACGTTTTTCAACTATTTTCAATCATTAAAAGAATCAAAACATCGAATTTTCATTAAAATATAATACTATTTCTTGAATTTAGCGCGCGCTTCTACCTATTTATCCTTATAGGCGCGCTCAAATCGTTGCGGGACAGCATTAAAATAAAATAGCAATCCCAAAAATGTTGGCCTCATGTGCGTCACAGAACGCCGAAGCGATGCCACGGCACTCCCCACTACAACCCTTCAACTGTAGGTGAGACGATAGCGAATTTTCATAGGCATTGAGGCGCACAATTTTGGGCTTGTTAATAAGAAACCTTGCATTGCATCTCTTGCTGCTGCGACAAGTGTTTAATTGGTGTTGCGGGTTAAAAAAAATGTTTTTTGGAATTTATTTTGTTAATTTGAAACTCAATATTTGTATTAAAATAAGAATTATGTACCTACTGCTGTTGTTTTGCAACTGTAAGAAATGAAAATTTTCATTAGAAATATACAAAAAAAATATCCGAGATGTTCTTTTAATGAAATTTTGGGTCAAAATTTGGGCGTAACACTTGAAAATTTTGTTTGGGTTTGTTTGGGTTAACTTGATGGGCCATGGGCCTCACCAGTTTGGATTGTCACGAGCCGCCACTGATATAGCCAAAAGATATTTATTTTTGCTGCAAAGATACATAATGAGATTTTTTTCAGGCTGCAGCAAGAATGATTAAAAACGAAATGGACAAAAAGCTCGGACCTCCTTTTCACGTTGTAGTAGGCGAGGATTTCGGATTCGAGATATCCTATGAATGCAGCACTCTACTCTATATGTTTTTTGCTGGAAACTTGGCCATAGTCATATGGAAGTACTAATAACTAGGTAACAAAATAAAAACAATTTTTGGTGCATATTGTGCCTTAATTTATTCAATTTTTTTAAAATGTCATGCTAAATAATCAATAACAATTCTATTAGTATCAGTATAAAATCAATATTACAATATAAAGTCAGTCGAGTTACCATAATTAATTATTAATATTTGTATATTTTTAATATTTTGTAATACATATTTTGATATAAAAACAAATAACTGTGTTATTTTTTTTAAACTTGCATTGAAAACAAATTTTTCAATGAAGAGATGGAAATAGTAAAATATTATTGAATCATAACGGAGGGGATTTTGAATGATGAAATTGTATTACTATTTCTTATTGGGCTCGAATTAATGGCCAGAAATATTTAGGACATAAAGAAAGTGAAAATCTCAAGAGAATTTTCATTTATTTACGCCCAAACACTTGGCACATCATACTAACAGAATTGAAAACCTTACTTGTTCAAACAAGTAAATGAAAATATGTAGTTTCTTTACTTGGAACAATTCTAAATAATATTTTTAGGTTACAAAGTTATTCAACTTATATTGCGAAATAAAGGATTAAGTTAGATATTACTGTGAAGTAAAGAATAAAAGATAATATTACAATTTTCTCATTTAAAACTCCACTGAAGCGCTAAAAATGTTTTTTTCTTAAACACTAAAAATATTCTACAATTAAAACGATACAATAAAAATAGGCATCCATATACAAGGGCGATTTCTTCTATACTAAAATTGAAAAGAAAACAAATGTTTCTTACGAAAAAATCATATAACTTTGTATACAGATGTACAAAAACAACTGGAAAAGTAGTAACTGGAACTACGTTTAGACATGATTTTTTGGCAAAAATCCAACAATGAAAAATTACAAACACTTATCATTATTGTTTGATCCTCAATACGTATTTAGTTAAATTGCGCTTTCCGCTATACAATAATTGTTTTTTGAACTTAATTATATAAAAATGAAGAGACTAAGCGTGCGCAGACGGAATCATGCATTTGTAGCTGAAAAACCAGACATACAGTAGAGTTGCTACATTTCAATTATTGATTCCACTGTATGGTCAAAAACAATTTTCAACTTCAGAAAAATATGGATATTGGTCAAGCAACATCTTAAAAGTGAAACCCACCAATACAGTCTCTAGATTAAATGTAAAAATAAGTAATATAAAATGTCTGGTCCTGTATATACCAAGCTACTTAATGAGAAAATTGCAACAAAATGATACAAACCCTGTCAGAGGTGTGTACTGAAGACATAAAGCTATTGGAATGTCTCAACAAATATAAGTCTGAAGCAGAATATGTTTTATTTATATTTATAAATAGATTATTTGATTCAGCAAACAAATCCAGGCAAAAATATGATTCTTCAGCTCATGTGCAAAAATTCCGCCAGCTAAAGTTTAGCCACTTTGATAAAAAAACAAATAAAGGAATCAGTCATAAAAAAAAGTAAATAAATGTGTATATAATGCATATGCAAAAACTTAAAAAATAAACAACCAACAAACTCAACGAGTCAGTAACTTGATGAATATCTACCATTGGCTTGCTGAATATTTCGTGACAATGTCCTTTGTGTATTTGGCAATATTGAATCCGATGTCCCGTATGTTGCTGAAGTGCACGTCTATAGATTTTCCGTCGCCTTTCAGTCGGGCAATTTGCAAGCTCAGGCATTCCAGCTGGAGTTTGGATGAAGCTTCGAGCATCAGTTTGATTTTCTCAGGTTCAGATTCCTGAAATAAAGGACAACTTCTTAGACATATTTTATACTAATAGCGTTGGAACTTTTCTCAAGATAACTACTAGTAGTAACGTAACTCAAAAAAAAAATTTGTAGTAATAAACTAGTAAATAAATAATAGGTTTAGAGAACATTTAATGAGCTCTAATTAGAGCGTAGCTACATTGGAATCGGATGAAAATTAACAGAGCTGTGAGGCAAAAACTGTCTCAGTGTCATTTTTGGAAATTTCTCAATGTTCGATAAATTCAATTTTAAAGCTTCTCAGCTGCAAAACTGTTGAAACTAGATCAAAATCTCAATTGCTAAATTTGTAGAGAATTTAATTACCTTTAATTAGAGTTTAGTTACATTGAAATCGGATGAAAATTAAAAGAGCTGTGAGGGAAAAACTGTCTCAATGATATTTTAGGAAAATTTCCTATGTTGGATAATTTTCAATTTTGAAGTTTCTCAGGTGCAGAACTGTTGAAACCAAATTAATGCGCTTGTAGAGGATTTAATTAATTTTAATTAGAGCTTAGCTACATTGGAATCGGATGGAAATTAACGGAACTGTAAGGCAAAAACCGTCTCAGTGTCATTTTTGGAAATTTTTCAATGTTCGATAAATACAATTTTGAAGTTTCTCAGCTGCAAAACTGTTGAAGCTAAATTAAAATCCCAATTGCTAAGTTTGTATAGAATTTAATAAGCTTCAACTAGAGCTTAGTTTCATTGAAATCGGATGAAAATTAAAAGAGCTGTGGGGCAAAAACTGTCTCAATGTTATTTTTGAAAAATTTTCTATGTTCGATAACTTCAATTTGGAAGCTTCTCAGGTGCAGAACTGTTCAAACCAAATTATATGCTTTAATTGGCCTTAATTAAAGCTCAATTACACTGGAATTAGATGCAAGTTAACGGAACTGTGAGGCAAAAACTGTCTCAGTGTAATTTTCGGAAAATTTTCAATGTTCGATAATTTCAATTTTGAAACTTCTCAGCTGCCAAACTGTTGAAACTAAATCAAAATTTCAATTGCCAAGATTGTAGAGAATTTAATTAGTTTTAATAAGAGCTTAGTTACATTGAAATCGGATGAAAATTAAAAGAGCTGTGAGGCAAAAACCGTCTCAATCTTATTTTTGGAAAATTTTCTACGTTCGATTATTTCAATTTTGAAGCTTCTCAGGTGCAGAACCGTTGAAACCAAATTAATATGCTTGTAAAGAATTTATTTGGCTTCAATAGCGATGTTCACAAAATAAAAAAATCCCGTTTAACAATCATCAAATTATTAAGCATCGTTTCTTAAGTAAATTTACAAAATTTTACGAAAATCAGAAAATTCTTTCTATGAGAAAAACGGAGATTAAATATCAATATTCGTTTAAAAGCAAGAAACGCTCGCTGACGTCATAATGTGTAACGAGTTAGCGCGCGCAAGTACAGTGGCGCTACTTTCTACTTGGATCAGCCTTTTGTGACGTTGCTTCTGCGATTTTTGTTGGCAATAAAAAATATTAATATTATTATTACTATAAGTGTCTTTTTCTTTCATATGCATTTAGATAAAGATACTGATGAACTAATTTGGTGATTGAATGTTAGGAAGCACCCTGAATAGTGAACTCTATTAATTGTCCAAATACTTTCTACAATGAGCGGAAGAGAGACAAATACATTGTAGGCAATTATTATATCGTAAATAATTCCGCAACGTGACGTCACAAGCGCTACTCTCGCCGCAAGGGGTCGTTTTGCTAGCCTCGCTAATTTTGTTTTTTTGTTTTCGATTTATTAGAAAAAATCAAGGGTTTTTAGCTGTTTTAACGTTTAATACGTGTTTTCTGGACCTAGAACCACCACTTTTTATTACAATTGGAAAATAGTGAACATTCCTATTAGAGCTCAATTACATTGGAATCTGAGCAAAATTAACGAAGCTGTGAGGCAAAAACTGTCTTAGTGTAATGTTTGGAAAATTTTCCATGTTCGATAATTTCAATTTTGAAACTTCTCAGCTGCAAAACTTTAAATCAAAATCTCAATTAATAGGTTTGGAAAGAATTCAATTAGCTTCAATTAGGGCTTAATTACATTGAAATCGGATGAAAATTAACGGAGCTGTGACGCAAAAACTGTCTCAGTGTAATTTTCGGAAAATTTTCAATGTTCGATAATTTCAATTTTCAAACTTCTCAGCTGCAAGACTGTTGAAACTAAATTAAAATCCTAATTAATAGGTTTGTAGGGAATTTAATTAGCATCAGCTAAAATACATTGAAATCGGATGGAAATTAACGGAGCTGTGAGGCAAAAACTGTCTCAATGTAATTTTTGGAAAATTTTCGATGTTCAAAAAATTCAATTTTGAAGCTTTTCAGGACACTCAAGTGCAAACCTGTTGAACCAAATATACAATTTTGTCTAGCCCTACAAAATCCATCACAATAACCCGCAAAAACCCAATTGAACTTTTTACATATCTGGGTGTGAGAAAAATATCGCCAAAAGATTAGCTTTATTCAACAGGAAACTGAAATACAGAATCAAAAAGGATCTAAAACAAAATGACTATACTGAAAAATGTAAAAACTTACATAACTTTAACCGGGAATGTAATCAATATATACAAGAAACAGAACGTATTTAGGTTTGAGAAAGTACAACCAGCTTGCAAAAATATGTTGCAAAATATCACTAAAAATTGAAGTACGAGTTTTTTAATTTAATATTTCCAAGCTATAGACTCGAGAAAGTTTCCAAAGTATCCAACTAAAAGTATCCCATACAATCATCTAATACGTAATTTACCTGTGGTATAGTCCCAGCCAATTTTGCAACAGCCTTTCCCACTTTAGCACCACTAGCCACACATTCCTCTCTCTCCAGGTCTTGAATACTTTTGCACAATAGCTGTATTGTCCTGGTTATCTGCTCGGTGCACTGCAAGACCATTTCCCTCTCTTTTGGAGAACCATACAGACCTGAAGATGCGTTCTTCGCGTTTTCATTTTGTTTGATCTAAATAAAAATTATTTAAATTTAAAAAAAAAACTATAATTTACAAGAAAATGTTCCTTGCCTGTGCCTTAAGTGCCTGCCAATTTGCTACTTTACTGATACCTTCTCTGGTTTCATACATGCTTGTAGGTCTCTGCGAAGTTTTTTTTTGCCTCAAATCAACTTCGTCTGCGTGTTTGTCACTGGGAGACTCGTCTACAACCTGCTTCTTTAAAAGGGGAAAAAAATAATCAGAAAAACAAATAGGAATCCCGCAATTAGTTGGATTTGGCCTGTGCTATGTCCTATTTCTTAAGTAAAGTCTTACACCATTTTGCTTTGGCATGCCTTTGGAAGTTTTGTTATTAAATTGTGTTAGATTCAGGTTTAGTTAAGCAATAAAATGAATTAAATTGTGAAATATTAAATTAGCTTGTTTGTTAATAAATAAAACATAAATAGCTAGTTCACCTCTGCAATGAATTCCAATGAATCGAAACCACTATCCCCATTCGAAAAATGCACCTTTTTTCCCATACGACCTCTCAACTCGAAGTTTTCAGTCTGCAACGTTTTGACGTAATGCCTCAACTTTAAAACCTCAGAACGTAGATCCGTTATGGTGTTATCTGAGTTTTTCAACTGCTTAGTTAACTGTTCCAACACTTGGTTTGTTTTGCTGATGCTGCCTATAGATATAATACTGTCTTTGTTCCGGACAGGCTTAAATATATTATTAGCATAAAGGTAAACATTTTTTAAAACTATTTTTCACCTCTTCCTCCCTGTCTATAGGTTCTGCATAGTCTTCATCTTCAGCAACTGAATCATATAAGGGATCGTCATCATCTTCAGTTGTTCGTGCTTAAATAAATAAATAATCTTTCAGTGACCCAAAAAATTTACAAAGTTTATGATGATAATAATAAGGCAGAATACAAAAAATAATAATTTAGTCAACAATCACCTTATGCCTAAACAAAAAAGGGAAGTGTAGACTTTGCAATATGAATGTATTATAGACTGCAATCATAATCAGTATAATAAATATATTGTACTTACCTTTATCTGGCATCTGTCTTCTCTGTGTATCGATGAGAACATCATAGACAAGAGTTTTCAGTTCGGGAGTGGAAAATCTGGCCAATTTTTGTCTTCCTTGGTTTCTGATAGTTGAAAGAGTAGGGTCGACTGGTAAAAACGGCACGACGTTGAGTTCTGTGGTGTCAGCACAACTCAACCAAACTAAAAAAAAAATCAATAATGAAAAAGTCTATGACTGAAATGAAAAAGATCTGGAACCTCGTTCTCTAATCCTGAGAAGCTATATTATGTACAAAAAATTGGCTAACCCAGGTCCTTGTTCTTGAAATAGGGGAGCAGCGTTCCCAGGAAACGAGTGTTTTGTCTTAGTCCGCATATCATTGAATGGAAATGATAATGTGGCGCGTTTGCCAGCATGTGCAGAATTTAACTTAAAATTTAGAAAATACTGCTTTATTCGGGCAGAAAGATTATCGCGTTTATTCTGGATTTTAGACGAATAGATTATGGATATATAAAGGCCGGTATTAGTTACTAGTTTTAAGTTTAAGATTAACTGTGATACAGTAGTGTCGCGATAATCTCGAAAGGCATTTTACATTCCGTTTCTAAGACTACAAATGAAAAAAATAATTCTACATAGAGTGCGAAATATGTAAGTATGTACTTAATAACTAGTCAATATTGTTCCAACTTTCGCTGCGTATTGAATGATGCGTGTAGACATGTAAAAACTACCTATCCACCTGAACGCAGTTACAAAACAACAAGTGAAAACCTGTGATTTTATTTTCAAAAGTCATGTAAATGAATTTGGATTACTGAATCAAGGGAAATTTGGATTACAGAGTAAATCAAGGGAAACATACGGATTAGCGCGGGATTTAGATAATGATTATTGTTGTAACAAAGTAACAAAGACAGAACACCCATTCTCCTGGGAACGCAACTCCCCTGTTTCAAAAATAAGGACCCAGGTCAGAGATGGCATGAGGTGAATCAAATAATTTTCTTGAAAAATAATCAATAATTTATTATATATAGTTATTGAAAAAATTAAGTTTGAAATTTTTGACTGAACTTCGATTAAAATTCAATTTTGCGGCTCAATTTCTCAAAAAGTATTTGAGCTATCAAACTCAATTTAGCACAGATTTATAGAGAATTCTCTTCTAATAGCGTTTAATTTATTTTTATTTGCTCAAGTTTCAATTGAGGTATGAGCCATTTTTCTTAACATTGTCAAGATTTGAAAAAACTTCCAGAGCCAAATTTGAGATTTTCTTTTGAATTTTTGGCATTTTTTGTAAAGGGTAGATACCCCTCTTGAAATTTTGTCTCAAAATTATCAAACCTCAATACTTCGAAATTCGTGAGAGTTATTGAATCAAAATTTTCAGGAATTGTAGCTCTTGAGGTAGCTCCCATTAGGCTTCAAAAAATGTGCATTGGGAAATATTTCCAGGTTTATAGTTATTCAGTTTGAAATTTTTAACAAAATTTCAAAATTTATTTGCTCAATTTTCAATTAAGATATGAGCCATTTTTCTTACCCAACATGATTTGAAAAAATTTCCAGTGTCAAAATTAAGATTTTCTTTTAAATAATATTTCAATTTGAATAACAACAATAAATATTCACTGTTATAACTGTCAATCAAAAAATAATAAAACCATTTAATTCAAAAATTTCAAAAAAATGATTTTTGTCAACTCTGGGCCCCAGGTTAAGACAAATCTTCTATCTTAACCCTTCAGGCCTAACTACGCTGGATTAGGTATCTTGAAGAATAACGATTTTAATTTTAATGATATATATTATTTGCCCAAAGAAAAATCAACTCAATTGTCAAGTGACTAAAACTCATGCGGGTAAAACCAAAACTTTTTGGCCAAAATCTTATCAATAAACGATACAAAAGTGAGACGTAATAAGATGAAATATAAAGTACTAATAATTTAAAACTTTAAATAAAAAAGTTAATTGATCTAATCAATAAATAATGTGGTGCGTAATTTCAAAGTATTCCTCATAAATTTGTAAATAAAATAGTGACCCGCTAAAATTAATTGGTATAATTCAATTTACCACAACATTTTCTCATTGATTTCATCCTTCTTGATAACACCAGCACTTTACCCACTCATTAAACAAATGCAAATGCTTCATACTTACACTAGTTCCCGTTGAAAAATTGGCAAATGCAATAGAAAGAAAAATAAATTAAATTTTAAGTACCCAAGATAAATATAAGTCATTAAATTGTTTGCAACTGCGTGGCTTAATGGTTCAAAATACTTGGAAAAAGAAGATAATCGAAAATAAATAAACACTTACTAGCTTCCGTTTGCCTTCTCTCTACTTCATCGTATACATCCATTGCTAGTTCTTCAAAAACTGGATTAGTTAGCTGAAAAAAAAAATTGCGAAATTCTTATCAATAAAACATTTAAAAGAAATATAATATTATTTTACCTTCTGCAACTTAGATAATGAAGCAGGATTGGATTTGAATCCTGTCGCAGGTATCCAGAAGTGTACCCCCGCAGCATGATCAGGTTTTCTTAGTGCCAAGTAATAGCTAAAACTGTCCGTTACTTCATACTGACTCTCGATTAAACGACTCATGAGTTCTTTATTATTATATTGTCTTGAATAATCCAAAGGAGTTCGTCCTTGGCTATCTGGAGAATTAGGATTGGCCCCATAAACCAGGAGAAGTTCAACTTGCAATTTTTGATCAGAACTTACTGCAATGTGTAGTGGTGTAGATCCTTTCTCCTTGAATTTTAAATAAATGAATTGTTTGAAAGTACAAAATAAAATGGCATAAAAAAAAACGACAGTTACAAATTAACTATTAATAATTAATATTAAGATACTCACATCATGAAAATAATTTGGATCAGCTCCAGATGTCAATAGTCTAAATGAAGTTTCAAGATTTGCAGAACGAACACTGGCATGTAATTGTTTTCCTAGTTCATTTTCCACGCTCAGAAGACCATCTTCATATTGTTCACGAAAGGTATAGGCACATTGTAGATGCTTTGCCTTGATATATTCTTGCTTTACGCTGAAATTAAAATAATTTGAACAATTAAAGCTTTGTTCAAATTATTATTAGTCACTAGATGTGCAATTTCGAAAGCATTTGTATAAACAGATAAGAAAAAATCTAAATATTATGGTTTGACACAATGATGAAGTAAGAATTAAAACTACATGATGTAATTCATGATTAATGTTATCAGTGACTAAAGCACGGAATATATGCAAATCTATATTTTGCATAATTAAGATTATTTTTAAATTTCTCATATTTACAATAGCTAATCTTTAAGTACCCATCATTTGAAAATTCTGTTATCGCGAAAATTAATGCCTTTCACGAGGCTTTACAAAACAAACTATGTTTTTGCGTCCAAAGCTATATTATTAGAATTAAGTACAAAAAAAAATATATTTTTGATGAAATCTGTTAAAAATATTGACAGCTACACATTAGTACATTAAAATACAAGTTTCATAAGACGTCATTTTATCGCACGAGCCCTATGCGAGTGCGATAAAATGTCTTATGAAACGAATATTTTACACTATTTTTTCTATTTTGGTATTGTTTAATTAAAAAAAAACAAATTTTTCTTGGAAATTTTATTCTCATATTTCCTGATTTCATATTTTTAGGTTGGTAACACTATATGCCAAATATAGAAATCTTCTATTATAAAATCGCGAATGACAGTTCGATGGCCATCAGTCAGCCAGTGTTACCAGCCTCCGATAAGTAAAAAAGGGGCATCACAAAGAGCTTCTTTTCGAAACTACTTTTAGTGTCGAAAAGACTTCGATATGACACCAAAATAGAAAAAGGTATTTTACGTCAGTCACTAACAAAGGTCAAAATAGGCTAAGGCCGGGACCGCACTGGCGCCAACATTGGCCCCAGTATGGTCCCGGCCTTAGCCTATGTTGACATTAATTAGTGACGGAAAATATGGGGACCTGTCAATATTTTGACTGATAAACACCAGTATCTCGTATACTCTCCACACAAAAAGTCGCAAAAAAGTTCATCTTTCAACGCATCATATCTCAAAGACCGAAATACCTACAAGATTTCGTCCCATTTAAAGGTTGTCAAGAATTAAATCCTCTACAACATATCAAAAAATGGGCAAAATCCATAGAGACTAAAAATTCCATATTAGGTGTGTGTTATCCTATGTCAAACGTTTTTGAACAAGTTTAACAAAGTAGTTACTATTGAAAAATGGGGGATTTTGAATGTGTCTCAGATGTTTACTTAGGACTTCTGACAAAATTAATTGTCTATACGAGAGTCCATCAATTTCAGGAAAATTTGAAAAGGCCCCAATCACATCTGTCGTTAAAGTTAGAAGTTTTTTTCGTCTGTATAAACTGACAAAAGACAATTATTACTTCTACATAAATTTGAAAAACATTTTGGTAATAGTTTTTTTTTATAATACATGCATAGTACCTAGGTACCTATACAGGGTGCCCCAACATTAAAAGAACACCTGACAAAGGACGCCTTTGAAAATCGGTTTTTTGTTAATAACTTTCAAAATACTTTGCATATTTTTTTTTTTTTTTTCATTCAATATGATGGATACTAGATAAGACCTCTTGAAATGGACCCTTTTCAATACACTTGGCCAATTCAGTTTGCCAGGGATGGACTAGCTGTAACACAATAATCCTATTTTTTTTTACAACCTGTATAATAAAAGCACAGCAATATTATTTTTAGATAGTTTGAACCAATTTGAACCTTGAACTAGAAAAAAGGTACTTTTATTCAATGTCGAAAAAATCAGCTGGTTTGGTTGGCTGGTTGTCGGCTCAACATAAGTTCCTTCTAATCCTATGCATTCCATACCTATTTTATTAGAAGATTGTTGGACCCTCGACAATGCTTCAATATTACCCCTTATTCTGCGCCAATTAGTGATGTGAGTCGAGAATATTCCCATATGAATATTCGCGAACATTGGGAAATTTCCGAGAATATTCGCCGATAAAAAATGGAAACGTTCTCCTGAATGAGAATATTCCCGGAAACTTTCAATCAAAAACTCCCAAAAGAATATTTCCGAGAACTTTCGAGAATATTTCCAAGAACTTGCCAGCCGTCAAACTTAGGAAAATCATCGCTTGTATGAAAAAATCTTGAAAATTTCATATTTTCTTATTTTTTCTTCAGACACTTAGATGGTGTTTCACGTTCAAATTTGGAGGGATGCTTGTTCAAGAGATGTTTATGTTTATCATCCCTTGAAAGGAAAATTCCTTGTCAGCTGTTGAAGAAAATATTAAATTTTCAAAATTTTTTCATACAAGCGATGATTTTTCTAAGTTCGACGGCTGGCAAGGAATTTTCTTTTTGACGGATGATAAAGCATCCCTTGAACAAGCATCCCTCCAAATTTGAACGTGAAACACCATCTAAGTGTCTGAAGAAAAAATAAGAAAATATGAAATTTTCAAGATTTTTTCATACAAGCGATGATTTTCCTAAGTTCGACGGCTAGCAAGGATTTTTCCTTTTGAGGGATGATAAAGCATCCCTTGAACAAGATCCTTCCAAATTTGAACGTGAAATGCCATCGAGGTGTCTGAAGAAAAAATAAGAAAATATGAAATTTTCAATATTTTTTCATGCAAGGGATGATTTTCTCAAATTTGGCGGCTGGCAAGGAATTTTCCTTTTGAGGGATGATGAGGCATCCCTTGCACAAGCATCCCTCCAAATTGGAACGTGAAACACCATTTTGAGGAGTCTTATCCAGTAACCATTAAAGAAAAAAAAAATACAGAAAGTATTTTGAAAGTTATTAACAAAAAAACTATTTTCAGAGGCGTCCATTAGGGGCACATCACTTCGTAGGGGAGGATTTTTTTTATAGGAAGTAGTCATGTTATTTTTTTTTTGTGTTTTATCTGAATCCAAGAGATTGCTGACATATTCTAATTCTGGGACATCCTGTATAAGGTATAAGTTCATTCAGAACCTCTTTCTTTAACACTTGCAACATAAAATATTTAAATAAATCTCGTTTCAATTCAAATATTGAATATTTTCTGCATAAATGACATCATTGTATATGACCCATTGACATACATAAATTCTTATAAACTGATGCATATAATATGAGATAAGCGCATTTTTTGCGACTATTCTGTGCTTTGTTTTCAAAGTTAACCATAACTTTAAGAGAAATGCGTTTAAATGAAAATACAAATTGAACCTTTGTAAAACAAAATTTAAAACTCTACTTTTGGGACCTTCAGTCCCAGTAGGTACCTCAAATTGCTTGATTTTGAAGATACAGGGTGGTATTGGCAAAAATATAAATAAACACAGTCACATAAGTACATTTTTTTCTTCGAAAAATATCTTAAAGACCTGGATTAAATATTCAATAATTTTAATCTAGGGCGAGATCTAGGGTAATCAGGTACCCTCTTGCTACTACAAAAAACCTGCCAAGTCTCATCGAGATTGGCAAAAGAGAAAAAGTGTTTTTTTTTTTTTACTTGAACACCCTGCATCTTTAAAATAAAGCAATTTAGGGCACATACTTATATGAACTTTCAGTCTTGAAATAAGCCAAGGAGTTACCTCCTTCAATAGTGATATGATATTTAGGAACATCCTGTATAATAGCGGAAATCTTGATAAATTATTGCCTGATGTAGTTAATTATACTGAAATTACCTACCTATGTTATTTAAACAAAAAAAAATGCGACTGTGCCAAACTTTTTTTCAAGACTCAAGGATGTTGAATTGGACAAAGTGAATTATAATAAATACCTAGGACTTTTCTTGAATGAGAAATTAGGCGGGAATGTCTATGTCAACCATAAATTGAATAAATTAACTCAATTAACCTGTGTTTTGCATGGATTTCAATATTTTTTAACTGAAAATGCTAAATATAATTTCTATAATACGATATCTAATGGAAATATGAGGGACATGTAGAAAGTTTTCGATAGGATCTGAGATAGGATCAAAGTCGAGGCAGAAACCACCTTAGAATTTTGGTGTACAAACTGAATTTTTTAGAATTTCTTAGAATTTTTTAGAATTACCAGCATTTTTTAGTATTTCCTAGCATTTTCTGTAGGGATTTTTGGAATTTTTTTGAATTTTTTGACACAATAACATTCATAAATTCATCATTTGCTAATAATGCAGAAACTCATGCAATATATACTGACTTCAGTAAAGCCTTTGATAAGGTAAATCACAACATCCTTCTTTCAAAGCTTTCAAGTTTCGGCGTTTCTGGACATTTATTTTCATGGATGAAATCATACCTTACTAACAGAATGCAACAAGTCAAGATCGATGGCTATCTTTCTTCTCTTTTCCATGCATCCTCTGGGGTACCCCAAGGTTCTCACTTGGGCCCCCTTCTATTCAGCTTATTTATCAACGATTTAGGATCGTTGCTCTCGTCAATTTTTTTACTTTTTGCTGATGACTTGAAGTTGTATCGTCAGGTGACGTCAACTCAAGACATACTTATTTTGCAAAATGATCTTAACATCGTTCACGATTGGTGTCAGCTTAATTACATGTCCCTCAACATCGATAAGTGCTGTTGTATAAGATTCAGTAGACGCACCCATAGTGTTCCCTTGCAGTATTACTTAAACAATGTTCGCTTGTCTGAAGTTTCTATCATTAAAGATCTTGGTGTCTATCTAGATACTAGGCTAATGTTCACTGAGCATTTTGAAGTGGTAATTGGCAGGGCTAATAAAATGTTGGGGTTTATTAAGAGAGCTACTAGGGACTTTACAAGTATACGCCCTATCAAAATTCTTTACACATCACTGGTCAGGTCCGTTCTTGAATTTTCATGCATAGTTTGGTCACCTTACTATCAGATCCACATCAATAGGCTTGAGAGTGTTCAACACAAATTTATTAAGTTTGCAAGGTACAAACTTTCTTTGAGTGGTGTAATTCTCAGTGATGACCTGACTATGACTTATTTAGACTTATCTACTCTTGTTCGCAGAAGGGAATATTTTGATGTCTGTTTTGCATTTAAAATTCTTAACTACTACATAAAAAGCCACGAATGTCTTGAATGTTTTAATCTACACATTCAAAGTTATCAGACACGAAGTAAATCTTTACTGCACATTCCTTACGTTCGAACCTGGTACCTACTATTTAGTCCTGTGAATAGAATATCTGCCAATGTAAATAAGTTCTGTGAGGGCCTTGAGTTCTTTGGTTTATCTCTGGATAAATTTAAGACGAAGGCCAGGAGAATTGTTTTAGGTTAGATTTTTTTTTCTTTTAGATTTAAACTCTGTTCAACTTCAAATGTATTTTTCTTATACGTAAATAAATGAATAAATAAAATAAATAAATAAATAAATAAAATTTGCATTTTAGAATTTTTGGTGTACAAAATTAGGTACGCGGATTCCCCTGAGGGGAAAATCACTTTGGAATTTCGATTACAAACTGATAGAATTTTTTAGAGTTATCAGTATTTTTTAGCATTTTTTAGTATTTTCTAGAAATTTCCAGAATTATTTAGTATTTTTTAGAATTGAATTAGAATTTTTCAGAAATAATTTAGAATTTTTGGTGTACAAAATTAGGTAGGTGGATTCCCCCTCGATCAAAGTATTACAAAACAAACTTTTCCCAAAGCTGCTGTTCAATCTGGATTGGCAAATACACACTGACATGATATAGAGGTAGTCCAAAAATTAATTTAAATTGATATTATTTTAAAAAATGAACAATCCAAATTAATGTATAAAGCAAGGCATACAATACAGTGAACCTGCTACAAGAATTCTTGCGGGAACAATAATTAAGCACCATACATACATAAAATAATTAACTATTTCAACAAATTAGGTGTTTAAAAAATAGAAATTCTACTATGAATTTTTCATATTATGGAAAATATTCTATTATCTTACCTGATCGGGTCCTTGGCATTTGGTTTTTTTCTCAACAGCTTTGACCCATTTTCAAGTAATGCATGCTCCCATATATTATTAGCTCCGTTATTATTCAAAGTGTAGAACATCTGCAATAAGAACATGAAGAATTATCCATTCCCAAAAGAGATACCTGGGACATTTACAGTGAGCTGATTGGGGTTCCAAGTACTTTTCACTAGAGATTTCACTTGACTAATAGATCTGCCCAGGCTACGATGAATGCTGCAGCACTGAGTGCATAATAATATGCCTTTATTTACTGACGCCCATGTAGCATCTAGAGCAAAAATATAATTGAGAACAATAATATTTAAAACATATTTATGTTTTGTATCCTTACCAGCAGCACCGCAATCCCCGCAAACTTCCAAATTATGACGAGTCTTGCCTCGCGGCATCTTACACGAACTGGTACAAATTTTTAACAATTAATATAAAGTAAAAATTAAATAAATATCATACTGTGATAATTATGATTAAAATTATTCAAACACCACAAACAAATAAATACATGAATGAATAACCCACAACCCCCCACTGAAACTGTCAGTGACAGATTGCCGAACATCAAAATCAAACTAATGACTAATTGTCACATCTCACAGGGTGTATTCTTGGGGCCGGTTTCTCAATAGTTGTATTCCTTTACACCTAGGAGGAGCTCCGGAACAGCTCCGGAGCGTTACGCGCTTATCTATTTGCTCATCTTAGTTTAGTTTATTTTAGTTAATTTTCCAGAAGAAACTTCTTCCAGAAAATGAGTTTATTTCTCTTATATCTAACATCCAACAATTGTACATAAGTTATCTAGCTAGTTTTTAAATTATTCTATAAATATTTTTTTTTTTTTTCTATAAGCACTAAGCACCTAGATGTAAAACATCTGTAGTGCAGCATCGCTAAGCAGTGTTTTTATTTGTATTTGTAGTTTTTATAATTTAGGTGTACATTAAGAATTAAGAGAGAGAGAAAAAAAAGAAAAATAACAAAGTAACAGTTCACATATTGGTTGGTTTTACAATTTATCAGTCCCACACAAATATGCAGACAACAAAGTCTGCCCTACAATCTTAGCGATCAACTTTATTTATTTAAATTTTGAAAATATATATGTATTTGTATTTTTTACTAGCCAAGTGCTAGAATAAAGTTATTTATTTATTTATTTATTTATTCCTTTCGAAAAGTGTTTGTTGCACCACGCATCTGTTCCTCTCAAATCGGGGGCTACTAACACCGGAGCGAGTAGGTCGAGTGTTTTAAACTATTGAAAGGAATACAACTAATAGCGAGTCACCTGCGGGTTGGTTTTAGCTCCACGGTAAGCGTGTCCAGTTGCTATGTTTACCTTAAAGCTCCCTTAACTCGGGGGTGACCTGCTATCAAGATACCGGCCCTTGGACTAGTCATTAGCGAGTTCTCGTGCTGTCTTAATTTCAAATTCCCCAACGCTATTTGAAAAGTATGACAGTTCTTACGGTATTAGCGTTAACGGAGCCCGCTATCTAACGGGACTTAGCGGATGCCTTACCGTAACGCTATGCTATATCAAAATTAGTTTACGCTCCATTTACGTCTGCAAGGACAGCAACTTCTAATAATTCCTCCATAAAAACACCAAGGGAAAATTAATCAAACTCAGAATCTTCAGGATAAATGATAAGTTAAAAAACAAGCAAAAAAAAGTTGGGTTAGATCACTCAACTCAGCTGTCAAAATGTAAACAGAATAAAGCCTAGTACTCATAACTGCGAAATTCGCACTTTTTTGACATTGCTTTGACAATTTGACGTTTAATGCGTGTATCAAACGTCAAATTGTCGAAGCAAAGTCAAAAAAATGCGAATTTCGCAGTTATGAGTACTAGGCTTAAGGCATTAGAGGATTTTTGTGTCTTCGTCTCCCAGAACTATAAAATTATGTTAAATACCGTATTGTTAGCGGTACCGTATTAGCGTAACGTCTGAGGCACGAGAACTCTCTATTCTGGTTCAACCAAAGAGGTAGGTCGCCTGATAACTTTAATGACGTCATCTGGGCTGCCCAAACATAATGAAAAATTCCATAAGGCACCCCAGATGACGTCATCTGTTTCCCATTACCAGACTGCCTAGGGTCAGCCAATTTGATATAAGAAATTTGGTTAAAAAAATGAAAATATATACATACGCCCCCATGTCTTTTCTACCCGTACATCGAAACGGGTTTTTCCACATTTTCTAATATTTTGGTTTCACAGTTACGCGAAAAAAAAACTTAAATTCCGGAGTCAAATATGATTCTATGTGCATTAACTAGACGTCCATTCAATAGACACTACCTAGGCGCACTATGAATACGAGCATGCAAATGAATCATATATTTCTCATGGGCGTTCAACAAAAAAAATATATAAATCATAAGTATGTGACTCATGGGACAACGTTTTAAATTTTTATTTTGATTTTTCAATAAAAGTTAAAGGGGGTGTGACCCAAAAATGAAAGTTTTAGAGCAAAAAAATCTAAGAATAAATATTTAAAACGCATCTTGCTATGGTCCGTTTTCGAGTTAGGGCGGTTTAACTACGTATTTGTGACGTCACACCGAATTAACAGGCACAATATTAACACGGGTAAAATTTTCCAAAACAATTATCCCACTAGAGCGAACTACAACCACTCAAAGGTACGATTCACTGACGACTGAACGAACAGACGACTGCGATTTCGGCGGTTGTGACATCACATAATTTATCTCCACAAGGAATTTTCTCGGAGACTATTTTGAATATAGGACTGCGGTTTTCACGAGAGATCTTAGCCGCTTTCCAGTATGCACATTGGCGCGCTCTGGCGCGCTCTAGAGCACCTCGGGGGCTCCACGCACTAGATTTATACCGTTCCAGTATCATGACGTGAGACGCCAGTCTTAGTGTCAAATATGTCAAATTTTAAAAATAATTATCTGTTTGTTTGTGCAGTTTGTTTTTTTATTTATCATAAATGAAAGAGAACCAAAACTATATATTTTAAAATGTTCAATCTTGAGATATAACAAGAAATAAATAAATAAATAGCCACCCACGGCTTTGACAGCTGACAGGTTGACGCGTACGTACAGCTCGGGAGCTCAACGCCCCGAGTAACTCCGGGCGTCACACTCCCATACTGGAAAGCGGCTCTTAGCTGAAGTTGTTTTTTAGCGTAACATCCCCTTTAATAGTTGTATTCCTTTCAAGAGTTTGAAACACTCGAGCTACTCGCTCCGGTGTTCAGTCGCCCCCGATTTGCAGGGAACAGATGCGTGGTCCAACAAAAACTTTTCGAAAGGAATAAGCGCGTGAAGCCCCGGAGCTGTTCCGGAGCTCCTCCTAGGTGTGAAAGGAATACAACAAATGATAAATTCAACCGTCAACAATAGTTGTATTGCTTTCACACCTAGGAGGAGCTCCGGAACAGCTCCAGGGCTTCAAACCCCTATTCCTTTCGAAAAGTGTTTGTTGCACCACGCATTTGCTCCCTGCAAATCGGGGGCGACTGAACACCGGAGCGAGTAGCTCGAGTGTTTCAAACACTTGAAAGGAATACAACTTTTAACTATGCTCGTGTGGGAGTGTTCCATTATGAATCGATTCGAACAAGAATTCTCGGAATCGATCCCAACGACAACCTCTGATTTGTCGGTTCGTGTTGCACTATATTGAACTGAGTGCAAAATATATCGGGTTCGAGAGGTCATTGGTCCAACTAATAGATAGAACAGTAAATGAAATAAACAAGCGAAATTTTTATGGAGTTTTTAAATTTGTTACTCAATACAAAAAAGTGAATAAAGGAACGGTTCGGATTAAAAAGAGCAAAGAGAGTGAAAGACTGCGTCCGATAACTCGGTGCCGATCTCTTATTGACGTTCGAGAAGAGGGCGTTAATGACAGAACTTCAGATTTCAAATTTGTCAGTTCTGTGCTCCTTGATTGATTGATTTTTTTGCGTTTTTTTCAAAATGAAAAATAACTCAAACGGAATTTTCGTGACGAACCAATTGCATGAATTCATGAACACAAACGCTTTCTAGAAAAACTCATGACGTCACATTGAACGTAGTTCACCGGATGCATGAGCTGGAGCGAGTTCAGGAATGACACACCCAGTGTGATTGTGACACCGGTGCGACGCCCTAGCTGTTCAAAAATGCTAGACGGGCTATGGGCCCAATGGCCAATTGTCAATTCAGGCACACCCATAAAATCGCACTCGCACCCTGTGCGTTATTTCTGAACTCGGCCCTGTATTTTTTTCACACCTAGGAGGAGCTCCGGAACAGCTCAGGGGCGATACACGCTTATTCCTTTCGAAAAGTGTTTGCTGCGGCTGAAGCCCGAATCAAAACATTTAAATGCACGAAAGGCAGCGCATCTGTTCCTTTCAAATCGGAGTCGTCTAACACTGGAGCGAGTAGCTCTAGTGTTCTAAACTCTTGAAAGGAATACAACTTTTGACGCAGCTTCTAGCCAGCGTTTAAACTCATGACGTCACAAGACGAACTATCCTTCGTCCTTGCATGAACTACATTCGTTGCGAAAATTTGGTTTTACATATGTGTATATCCAGTTCCAAGGATTTAAGAAATAAGGTCTGTTCCAACCCGCCAAAAAAACTTTCCAAGAACGGATTCGGAATCACTATACCGCTTTATTCCAACACAGCAGGAAACCGTACAATGTACCGTCACGATTCTGCGCAAAGTCTTAAATTTGTGCGTAGAATCCAAAATTCGTATACAGAGTGGTTGCCAAACCGTTCACGGAACGGTTTTTGACGTGTTGGAAGAGTGTACGAATTTCGGATTCTACGCAGAAATTTCACGTTTTAGAAGAATCCTGGTTTGAATGGTTTATTTGTTTATGTTGTTCGGCGCAACACTTCCTGCTTTGGGGCGTTCGTTTTTGTCAAATAATTGACACACGTTATTATCGTAAGAGGGTTTTTGTGCTGTCCAAATTTCAAAAACCGTAACGTTATTTGACAAGTATGACAGTTCTTACGGTAGCCGCTTTCCAGCTGACCATTAGTTGTATTCCTTTCACACCTGGGAGGAGCTCCGGAACAGCTCCGGGGTGTTACGCGCTTATTCCTTTCGAAAAGTATTTGTTGCACCTGAGTGCTCACGCCCGACTCAAACCATTTAAATGCATGAAAGCCAGCGCATCTGTTCCTTTCAAATCAGGGTCGAGTAGCACCGAAGCGAGTAGCTCTGGTGTTTTAAACTCTTGAAAGGAATACAACTATTTTGAGCACGCAGTCGAGCTTTTGCGCGCGCAGATGCTTCAAGCGCATGTTCGTGTTCCAGCCGTACTGCGCTTTGAGAGCTGCTAACTTTTGCGTCACAAACACAGAACACTGTGCTTGAAGTACAAACACAATGTCAGCTGGAAAGCGGCTCATATTAGCGTAAGCGGAGCCCGCTACCTAAGTTAGCGGATGCCTTACCGTAACGCTATGCTATGTCAATTAGTTTACGCTTCATTCACGTCTGCCACTTATAGGCATGAATAATTCATAGCTGGTGTGCACTCGGTGTG